TAAATGTGTAAACATCCATCCAATTAGAATCCATGAGATCGGATAAAGATATATATGGAAGCTATATCCAGATCTGATCCAATCTCGATAAAATTGGGCAGAGGTATTTCTGAAGAACTTAAATATCAAATCGGATGAAACATAAATATGCGAGCTAGCCATATCTTTACCGACTTTAACCTATTTTTTAAAGGAGTCCACTCCATTCGGCGGATGAAGATATGCATTGAACACCATCCAAATCTGAACCCATCTGTATAAAATCTGAGGGAATAATTTCCAAACTGCGTCTGATATCTAGGATATCCTTTGTAGATGAAATTTATATATGGGAAGTAGGGCTGTATCTGAATCCATTTTCAACAAATTTTAAGTACTTCAAGGTTGAATTCGATCGTATATACCTATTTGGACGAATATTACACGTATGGCGCACAATGAGATTGAAATCGGACTAAAGATATACAAGGTAGATACATCTAAATTTAGACTGATTCTCACCGATTTCAATAGGGTTGGTGGTGGGACCAAACAAATAATTTATTATGCATGTTCGAAACAAATGCACAAAGACATAATACCCTACACCACAGAGTAGCACAGGATAGAAATAGCAGAATCCCTGAACACGTATTCTATTCTTTATAAAAACAACCCTTATTCCCTCGCAAAAAACCTTAGAACTCAAGGACTGATTTTTTTAAAGAATTGTTCAGGGACAGATTTTTATTTAATGACAAAAAAAAAAAACTTAGCTAAAAAAAAACTTCAGTAACGGAGAACTAATTTTTTCTAAAGAAAAAAATATATTGGTTTCCAGAGACTTTCCTTTTAACTGAGATATTTTTTCTTCAGATTTTTTCTATACGAAAAAGACGTCATTCCTGGTCCTCAGAGAATAATTTTTAAAAAGTATACTCCTATCCCTGAGAACAAATTTAAAAAAGGAAAAAAATATTTTAGTCTCTTATTTCTGTCTTTTTTCTCCAGAAAAAAATCTTCAGTCCCTGAAAACAGTAGACAGGTTTTCTATGGACAGAAAACCTCCTACAAATCTTCTCTAGATAGAAGACTTGATACAAGTTTTCCAAGATAGTTCTCAGGTCTTTGGAGAGATTTTACATATCTTCAATAGATAAAATGCATTTCAATGTCTCCTTTAGGTAGAAATCCCAGTTTCTGTATATAAAATTACTTTAATGTCCATGGGTATACATATGCGCATAGAAGACCTGCAAATAAGAGCCTCTTATGGGTATTCTATAGATAAAAAAAAATTACATATCTTTCGGGGGAGTTCTTTGGATAGAAGACCTTAAAAAGTATTATTTGAAAGAATGACCTTGGAAAACTAGGTGTTTAGAAATAATAAAAAAGTTCCTTCGACAGCCTTTCTAGGAAGAGGGAAGGTCTTTCACATGCCTTTATAGCGCTTGTTTGGATAGAACTTTCTTGGGAAGGAAGACCAGGTCTTTTTTAATAGAGAAGTTTTTGGAGGTTATTTGGAAATAGTACAATTTATAGGGTCTGTCTCCAGCTCTTATTCGAAAAAAATGATCTTTCACATGTCTTCGACAGGAACAAGATTTTTCTGAGTTGTAAAAAATTCCATCCACAAATTGTATTTCAAAGATACTCTTTAATTACAAGTACTTTTACAGATCTCCTATGAATAAATAGATTCTCTTAAGATAAAAGGCTTCTTTAAAGCCTGTCTAAGCTAGAAAACCCTTACAAAGACAACTTTAAATTGAAGGCCGCTGGGAGGTACTTGAAAAAGTACAGGATATATAGGTCTTCCCCATCAACAACAGTTTCAAGAGCTTCAGAGAATAAAATACCTGTAGAAGATCTGTTTTATCTAAAAGCCGTTCGTTATATTGCTAATGTTTTCTGCAGTGAGGACTCTTGACTGACCCATCAATGTCCAGACGAAACGGTTAAAGCTTGGAGCTCGAAATTTGGCATAAGTGTGGCTGATAATATTAAAGTGTGGAAGAAGTCGGAAATTTTGAAATTGCTTACTATAGGAGTACCAAAATACTAAAACGTACCAAATTGTATTACACCGTTACAGAGCGATCTGTAAAAGTTATGTATTATAGAAATCGGATATTATTAGTTTCATGGGGCCAAAAAGTTGTAAGAACTCGAAATGTTGGTCCTAGACCCACGAAGTTATATATGGATCTTCGTCATGTTCAGTCGATCTAGGTATGCATATGTGTTAACTTGCAATCACGCTACAGGTCGTGATGGTCTGATCCTCACGAAATGATAGTCTGGAGATGAAGTTAGGGTAGGGGGAGATGATCGCAATGTATTGGTTTTGATTTTGGAGTTTCTCCACAGGTCACAACTATAGATCGAACGAAGCGGAATTTTGCATTGGGTGAGAGTACGGGCCAAGGGTGCAATGGACCATAACTTTGTGTGAAATTGTTCCGAATACCTTTTAGCACCACAAAGGGTTACCCCTTTTTATTTAGGGTAAACTTCATCGGTCAAAAATCAAAGGTAAAAGTATTTCAAAAACGCAGTCGTCCGAAATGGATGGATGGACCTATGTAGGCTTTTTAGGGTATTACTTGGTAGGCCCCGCACGATTGCAGCCATTACTTACTTGTTTTTATAAATCTACAAAGGTTGCCTATTGGGGAAAAATAGGTATGAAGGCCCCACAGTTACTAATAGGCAAAAATGGGGTAGTTCATTGAAAATAGAACAAGTAAAAATGCAGTAAGTTCGGCCGGGCCGAACTTTGAATACCCTCCACCATTTGGAACGAATTAGAAAATATTCAAAAACATAAAATCTATTGAAAATTCTATTAAAATCTTTAAAATACCTAATATTGGAAGGTGCCGATATATGGGGGGATATACGCTATTGTGGACCTATATAGACAAATCTATGTCTGGGGGTAAAGTACTCACAAGGAAATCCTTGTGTGGATTTTCAGATAATTCCATTGGGAAATGTGGCTAAAATCATCAAAATCCCGAATATCGGGGGTACCGTTATATGGGGGATATACGATATTGTGGACCTATATAGACAATTCCGTTTCAGGGGTAAAGTGCTCACAAAGAACTCCGTGTGTGGATTTTCAGACAATACGATTGGAAGATGTGGCTAAAATCATCAAAATACCGAATATCGTGGGGTACCGTTATATGGGGGCTATACGTTATCGTTAACCTATATAGAGAATTCTCTGTCGGGCGGTAAAGTGCTCACAAAGAACCCCTTGTGTACAAAGAACCCCTTGTGACCATTCCGTTGAAAAATATGGCTAAAAACATCAGAGGCTACCGTTATATAAGGGCTATACGATACCGTGGACCTATATAGATAATTCTCTGTCGAGGTATAAAGTACCCACAAGGAACTCCTTGTGTGGATTTTCAGACAATTCCGATAAAAAAAATGTGGGTAAAATCATAAAAATACCGAATATCGGGGGGTACCGTTATATGGGGGATAAACGATATCGTGGACCTGTATAGACAATTCTTTTTCAGGGGGTAAAATGCCCACTAGGGACTCCTTTTGTGGATTTTCAGACAATTCCATTGAAAAATGTGGATAAAATCATCAAAAAACCAAATATCCGGGGTACCGTTATATGGGGGCTATACGATATCGTGGACCTGTATAGACAATTTTCTCTCAGGGGGTAAAGTACTCACAAGGAACTACTTGTGTGGAATTTCAGACAATTCCGTTTAAAAATGTGGCTAAAATCATCAAAATGCCGAATACCGGGGGGTACCGTTATATGGAGGCTATACGATATTGTAGACCTATATATATATATAATTCTCTGCCGAGGTATAAAGTACCCAAAAGGAATTACTTGTGTGGATTTTCAGACAATTCCATTGAAAAATGTGGCTAACATCATCAAAATACCGAATATCGGGGGTATCGTTATATGGGGGCTATACGATATCGTGGACCCATGTACCCCATCTTCGAACTTGGCCTGCCTGCAGACAAAAGAGAGATCTGTGCAAAATTTTAGCTTCCTATCTTAATTTGTTTAGACTGTAGCGTGATTACAACAGACGGACAGACGGACGGACAGGGCTAAATTGTCTTAGAATTTTACCCTGATCAAGAATATATATACTTTGTTGGGTCTAAAATGATTATTTAGATGAGTTACAAACGGAATGACGAACTTAATATACGCTCCATACTTTTTTTGGTGGAGGGTATAAAAAATGCAGGACGAAGAGTTACTAAATGTGATTTTAAGCTAATAGGACTATATTAAATTATGCAAAAATTTATAAACATGATCAGATTGAAGTATTATTTCAATTCATTATTTTAAAATCGATGAATTCTTAGCCTTAAGATGGAACTGCCTTCTTTTATTTTATTTTATTTTATTTTTTTTGTGACTACAAATTAATTTCTACTTCTTAGCATAAAATAAAACATCTCGTCTCCCTCTTAGACCTTAACAAGAAATTTTCAACTTTTTTATTTAAATAGGATTTACTTAAAGCCAAACTGTTTAACTTAAATGACAGGGCGCCATTGCTCTTCATTTGTTTTATTTTTGCTATTATTTTTCCAACAATAGTTGGATTACGATAAATATACCTCAAATGGTCGAAGAAAATGAGTTTATAAAAACGTTGAGCCACCAATGATACCACACTCACACTCATACAAGCGTATCTTTAGTTTAAGATCCTGACATTTGTCCATTGTCTTATGGCAAACGGACATGGCCGGGACAAGAAAGATTAAATCGTTAAATCTACATTTAATGTTAATGCTAATGTTCCCGGGCTCATTGTTGTTCTTCATCGTCGTCGTCGTCCTCATCGTCATCGTCTGCTTGTTTACTTATCTACTTATTCTTTAAGTTTTATTGTTCTTGTTCTTGTTATTATTGTTATTGTTGTTCCAAAAGCTAACATTTTCCTTTTCTCTCTTTTTTTCGTTTCGTTTCGTGCCATTTCTTCTCTTGTTTATTTCAGGTGATTCAATTATATTAAATTGCCAGGCAGATGGCACACCCACACCCGAAATTCTATGGTACAAAGATGCTAATCCCGTTGATCCCTCGCCTACTGTTGGCATCTTTAATGATGGCACCGAATTACGGATCTCCACCATACGGCACGAGGATATTGGAGAATATACTTGCATTGCACGCAATGGTGAGGGACAAGTCTCCCATACGGCCCGTGTTATAATAGCGGGCGGCGCTGTAATCATGGTAAAATTTTTGTTTTTGAACATGACTAACCCATTACTCATCAGAACCTCAAATAACCAAGAAATCCCACCCCCCCCCCCAAACCGAAATAACCCACAATCCCCCCCTTCCCCACCTATACTTTTTGCAAAGAAAAAAAGAAATAACATAACCACAAAATAAGTAAATCTCCCCCCGTTTATGTGTTAAGACATTAGAAATCCGCTAAGGAATTTTAAATGCAAAGCAACAACAAGAAAGAAAAGTTATGAATTTTTAGTTAAAATGTCTTCTCTAGACCAGCAACCCCTTGTTGTCGGTTTTCGTCAATTGTTTGTTTGCCATGTAATCTGGTTTGTTTAGTCCATTGTAAATGGCTGTGGTAATAAAGACATGTAAAAAAGAAGATGCGGGTCCTAGAACCAACCAACGACAAGGTCAACATTGCAGCAAGTGGTTGTTGGTGTTGGGGGTTATTTGAATTTTAATGTTTGAATTTAAATACCCACCTCAAATGGTGGCAAACGAATATAAACACAAAATTCCGAAAGGGTGTAAAATATGAAAATGTCAGAAATAATGCTAATATAAAGCAGAATATGGATCGTTTTTCTTTAAAAAAAAGTCTCAGCTCCTAGAGACTGATGTTTTTAAGGAAAAAATATCGAAATTAACAAAGACTGCTATTTTCAAGGGAATAAAATGTCTCAACCCCTAAGGACTATTTTTTCCATAGTTCATGACCTGAGGACCGATTTTTTCTGTAGAAGAAATTTCTTCCGTCCCTGGGGTCTAAATGTTTTCCATAAGTTTGGCCAAAGGACGAACTCAATTAAAATTGGTATGGATTTGTCCAAATTTACATGTAGCTCCCCTATATTTCTTCGTCCGATTTCAATTTTATTGTGCGCCATATGTGTAAATTCCTACAAATAGAATGTATTTCGGCACATGAGACCGAATTCAGCCTGGAAGGAAGTACTCTCATTTTGGCGAAAATAGGTTCATATGTAGCTATAGCTCTCATATAAGTAACACCCATCGTAAATAACTGACTGCCGAATTGTCCGAGAATAAACGCCCAACAGAGGAAACGGCAGAAATTAGAATCTTGAAATTTTGTAAGGGCATTCGTACTAAAAGGATACGAAAAGTACTAAAATGTACTAAATATTGAATATTTTGTATTGGACAACCAGACCTCAAGGCCTGACGATTTTTCTATAGAAAAAAATAAGACCTCAAGACCTAACGTTTTTTTTTTTCTATAAAAAAATCAGACCTCAAGGCCTGACGTTTTTTGTTTCTATAGAAGAAAATCAGACCTCAAGGCCTGACAATTTTGTTCTATAGAATTTTTTTTCTCTGACACTAAGGAATATAGAATGTTTTTGATAGAAACAGTCTTTAGGGCCTGTCGTTTTTTTTCTATTTAAAAAAATAGTCCTTAAGGCCTTACAAATTATTTCTATAGAAAAAAATTGTTAGGCCTTATGGACTAATATTTTTTTAAAAAATCAGTCCTCAAGGCCTGGTGATGCTTTCTGTAGAAAAAATCTGACCTCAAAGTCTGAACAATTATTTTCCATAGAAAAAAAATTCGTCACGTATTGAGGTCCTATTTTTGCTATAGGAAAAAATTCGTCAGACATTGAGGCCTGATTTTTTTCTATAAAAAAAATCGTCAGATCTGATATTTTCTATTGGAAAAAATTGTCAGGTCTGATTTTTTTCTATATGAGAAAAAATTCGGCAGGTCTGATTTTTTTTTTCATAGGAAAGAAATCGTCAGTTCTGATTTTTACTGTAGGAAAAAATTCGTCAGGTCTGATCCTTTCCTATAGAAAAAAATTCGTCAGGCTTTGAGGACTGATTTTTTTCTACAAAAAAAATTCGACAGGCCTTGAGGACTGATTTTTAATAAAATATTAGTCCTCAAGGCCTAACAACTTTTTTTCTATGGAAATAATTCGTAAGGCCTTATGGACTATTTTTTTAAAGACTGTTTCTTCCAAAAAATAAAAAAAAAAGTTCTGTAGTCCTTAGTGCCAGAAAAAAAGATCATTGGAAAAATTTCCTGGGTCCATAAAGGCTGGTTTTTTTTTTTTTTTTTCTAAAAAAAATAATCTCAGTCCATGTGATTATTGAGTATGAGAATAAAATACTTCATTTCTTAAAGATTGATTTCTTTCTATTTAAATTTATTTTCTATAGAAAAAACTCCTCAGATCCAGCCACTGGGAGGACTTTTCCTCAAGTTTTTTCCATGGACAATTTATTGCTTTATTGCTTTGTCTCTGTGGACTAGTTAATTGATTTTGCAGTTTCGGAAGTTTTTTTCGAAGATCTGTTCTCTAATGAAAAAGTTTTCCATTTTTCAGTTCCCGGGGTTTTTTTACAGAAATATGTCTCGGTCTCTAAAAAGAGATTTTTTATAGAAAAATATCTATGAAAATAGATTCCAAAATCTCTTTAATTGCCAATTTTTCTCTTAATTTCAATTTGTGTCAAATTTTTATATTTTATAATTGCATAATATGGCTAGTGTATCTACTCAAATGAAATTATAACATTTTCCAAATGCACAGACATTTGCATTGCCTTTTTGGGTGAGTGCTCTCTATTTTCCTGTGGCAAATATCTTGCATGGCATACAAAACGTGTTTGCATTAATTTAAACATTGTACAAGAGAAGTTTAAATAATACAAAATAAAATATTGCATTGCACTAATTAAGCCTTTTGGGTATTCAGGTACATACATTAGGGTGGATCATAAAACGATCCAAAATTCTCGCATTGGATATTGAACAATTTGAATAAATTGAAATGTGTGAATTTATATTGATAAAATAAAAACACTGGTTAGCAAAGGCAAAATACGTACGGGTTCAATCATGGGTTCGAAAAAATGGAAAACCCTTAAAATAAATGAAATAATGCCATATAGTCCTGCAAAAAATTTAACCTTTGTTTTTTATGCATAGTATTGTAGTATGGTATTGTGGGATCTACAGGGTGAGATAAAAAACTGCAACAAAGTCAAACCCCATAATGTTTAAATTTTTTTTAATATATTGAATTAAAGCAAAAAATGTCGGAAATAGCATAAAATTTTAGAATAAGTTTAGATTTTTTCGAATTGGTAACCTTTGCCCGAATGTTGCTCTGAGGTATTTTGGCCCATTTCCAGCGAAGCTCTTGCTTGAGGTGATCGACACTTTGGTATTTTTAGTGCCAACCTTGCTTTCCAAAATACTTCAGACACAATTGTCCAACGGATTGGTATCGGGAGATTTTGGTGGCCATTGTGCGCTGGAAATAAAGTAAGGAACCTTATTTTGTAGCAATTCTTGGGTGGCGCGTGCTGAGTGCGATGGTGCTGAGTCCTGTTGGAATGTCCAAGGTCTACGGCCAAAATATTTGCGAGCCCAAGACTTTAATATACTCTCCAGAATATTTTCGCGATAATATTCGGCATTTATTCTGATGCCACGGTCGATTTATACAGGCGGAGAGCGACCATCTTCTTTTATTGCGGCACATACCATCCCCATTGCCGGCGCCTGATATCATTTTGTTGGACAACGAATGTTTTCTCATCAGGGAAAACCAAATTCGACAGTTCACCCCTTTCGGCCTAGCGAATCAACTCTTTAGCTCTTTTGAGTCTATTTTCCTTCTGTTGCGGTGTAAGTTCTTGCACTTTTTGAAATTTCAATGGCTTTACCCCGAGCTCATTTTTCAATATTTGCCGAATTGAATATTGCGATATGTTCAGCTCACGCCATTTTTCGGCCACTTTTCGAACCATTTCTGCTGATGTTGCTAGTTTCTTCCGTCCACTCCCTTGACGTCGGTCTACGCTACCAGTATCACGGTAACGAGCGATGGTACGAGACACAAAAGATTTATTCACATTTAAATGCTGGATTGCTCTAACCATAGCCAGCTGTCGTCGAATGTCTTAGAGATGACAGCAGTCTGAAGTTGGTTGCAGTTTTTTCGTCTCACCCTGTAGTATTGTATTGTGAGATATACGTCTTCATGCTTTTCTCGTAAAACTTCATTCGCAGTATTCTGAAAAGCGCACTCAGAACAATTTCATTCGGTCGAATTTTTTTGAATAGCGGATAAAAGAATTTGGCCCATATTATTATTTATTAATATAGTTCTAGTTCCAAAAATTATATAATATTTGTGGGATTGTTGTTTTCTTCTCTTTTTATCTATTCAGGATAATTGGCGTGAATAATAGGCAATTGATTGGCCACATATTAAACAATATTCCATTTTTTTTTCACAAAAATTACCCTTTTCAATTCCACCTAAATTTCCCCCACCCATTCTAAATCAATTATTATATCAATGTTATTAGCAAAGCAAACCTTGTGCTCTCCACTTTGAAAATCCACAACAAAAAAGGTTCTAAATGAAAATTCAATACCGTCAAACGAAAAACTTCCATTGCAAAGTAATCCTTATACCAAAAACAAAGACCCAACCAATATCAGGGGGTCATGTAAATTTAGTCCCTCAGTGTATTCTACTCCGCCACCACAGTTTTGTGCACCAACACAATTTGCCAAAGGCTTTCTGATGTTTGGCGTAAATGTTCCATGAAAGAAAAAAAAAAAACAAAAACCAAATAACGCTTGTGTTATAAATCAAAATAAGAAGGAAAAAAAGCACAGAACAACAAAAACAGCAATAATAAAAAAGTATTCTAACAATATCAAGTACAGAACTATAACCTTAAAAGAGAAATATTGTTTTTGAAGCAGGAGGAGAGGGGGATGAAGAACTTCAATGCTGTTTGTGCAAAACTTAAGTTAGTATTCCTAATGTATGTGCTCGCATATACACACACACGTACGTATGTATTTGAGGGTAAAATACAAAATGTCTTAATCTACAAAATATGGTTAAATCCCTGACAGGGATATCTCCAGCGATTTTTAAATAAATGACATGATCAGGTACCTTGAGCACTAATGGAATCCCAGACTGACTTTTTGAAAA